AGAACCGAGGACATCACTCTGCACTTTGCCTGCCCCTCTGATGCTCCCCAGGCAGGAAGCACAAGCTGGATGGGTCAGACCTCTCTCTCACGCACAAGCCCGTTTCCCTTCCTGCTCATCACCGCTCCGTCCTTGCGGCGCGACAGAGTTCCTCCACAGAGTGCAAATGTTTCACACCAGGCTGGTGCTGGCACCGCAATCTATCATTTAGTCTCACGGGAGGGTTGGGCGAGGGGAAAAGAGCATCCTCACAGATCTGTATCAGCTTTGCTCTGCCACAGGGAGAACTAATTTTGGTCTGCAATCCTTTTACAGCCACTAAGAGGCAGAACAGAGGCGGCTGACAGCAAGCACTTCCACTTTTACACCTAAACCTAGAAGGTGACCTTCCCTCAGATCAACCGATTGATAAACTCAGCACAACTCAGCGCCCGGATGCAGTGATGCGATGCAGCCGCAATAGGTCCCAGAGGGGGATTCTTCCATAGCCCCTAGGATAGAAGAGTCAGGACTTTCTCTTCTTTATAAAGGAGCAAGTTCCTAGTCCTCAGGCAGTGCTGCCTTTCAGAACGAGAGGAAGTGCTGGTGAGGAAGGAACACCCACAGAAAGGGCAGCTACCGAAGACAGAACATTAGTACCTTGAACACTTACATTGAGGAAATGTCATCATTTACGCTGCCGACCATTTTTATAGCTTACGAGAAAAGAGTCATTTTGCAGCCCTGCCAATCTGATGTACGGAAAATTTTCCTTCTAGTATGAACTGTTCAAGAATACCATGTCCCTTTTCCCCTTAGTCATCTTATTCCCCAAACTGTATTCTCTCTGCATTTTCAAATTCATCCCACCCCGAGAGCTAGAAACTTGATCCCAATTTTTTAAAAAAATGAAAACACAGCTCAGGTGGAAGCAAGGAGAGATTCTTCCTTGTGATGCTTTATTACTGGCACCTCTAATGCCATCTAAACTGAAGGTGGGCAATTAAAAAAATTTCTAAACTATAAACACATTCTGCAAAAAGGCAGAAACATTTTATGCACCAGAGCCCACAGGTCCGAGAAAGAAACAAACACCAAACTTTTCTAACTCCCAAACACTAGGAGACTAGTGCAGTGCAGTGGTGAAGAGCATGGGACTGGGACTCAGAGGATCCGGGTTCGAGTCCCCGCTTGGCCATGGGGCCAACTGGGTGGCTTTGGGCCAGGCACAGACGCTCAGCCCAACCTACCTCACAGGGTTGTTGTTGTGGGGAGAAGATGGAGGAGGAGAAAGATGTAAGTTGCCTTGAGCCCTTTGTAGGAAAAAGACAGGATATAAATCGGAAAATAAAAAAAGACTGGTAATGGAAGGGGTCTGCCCCCACCACAGCATTTATTTCAGTAACATTTCTATTACAGCTGTGCAATTAATCCACTCGTCCATACGAATGTTCTCACATGCTAGAAATTTCTTGAGAGCCAGTGTAGGGATTAAAAAAGGTACTCTGGGACTCAGGCAAGCTGGACTCTAGACCCCATTTCCCATAAAGCTCACTGGGATGAGCTTGGGCCAGCTGCCGCCTCTCAGTCTATCCTACCTCACAGGGTTGTTGTGTGAGTGAACTGGAAGGAAGAATCTTGCCAGTGGTCTTGGATTCCTTGCAAAAGGAAGAAAGGTGGGGTGAAATTCAATGCAAATATAATTTATGGCCCAGATTCTTTCAGGCCACAATGTCAGTCGTTCCAAATCAATAGGCTCTTGCATTCCTCTTCTTTACCTGTTCTCCCCTCCCCCCCACAACCCCTCCTCATCCAACCTACCCAATGGCAACTGCTTCCACTGACTCCCCCCCCTTCTGTGATGTCAGAGAAGGTTCCGCCAATCAGGCCCAAAGGCTGCTCCGTGCCTTGACATTTCCTTGTAAACAAGAGAGATGAAGACCAAGGTGGGTGTGAGGGACTGAAAAGGGCCTGCTTTAAACCCCCTATAATCCCTCCACCATCTAACTCCCCAGATATGCTCACCCCACTGAGAAGAGACAAGATCATCTTCTTGAATGGCTGCAAATGATGCAGCAATAGAAACCAACCAAATAAATAAAATCATGAGGACGTGAAACTTAAAACGCCTTCATTTTTTGCCGTGACAGTTGCAATTCTCTGGAATGACAACGAACGAAAAGCAAGCAGGAAAAAATCCTTTCTGTGTGCCGGTGATAGCCAGAAACAGCAAGTTCTACTCGATACTTTTCATTTTTCTAAACTTCTTCTTCTTCTTCTTCTTCTTATTATTATTATTATTATTATTATTATTATTACATTTTTATACTGCCCATAGCCAAAGCTCTCTAGGCAGTTGACAGCAATAATCATAGAATCATACACTCAAGTCACCCATCCCACTTCTGCCCAGGCCTGACCCTGCTTAGCTTCCAAGATTAGGCAGGATCAGGCACTTCAGGAGCACTGAAGCTTTCAGCTGGTGTCACTTGTGCCCCTGCCATGCTGTCTAAAATAAGCTAAAAGCTCATCATGCAATGGAACATTTGCTAAAAGAGTGGCCCAGGCAGGGGCCTAAGGATCCCTGTTGCACTGCACTCCCCAGCATTATCCTCCTGCAGCCCCACTTTGAATCTTTCCACTTGCATTTTTCTCCTTTTTACAAACAGGGATATTCTTGGAATACAGCTGCTTCCCAAACTTCTGAGCTTATACATTTCAGCACGTGCAAATCTGGGGGACTGTTTGAGATGCAGAACTTTTGGGGACCTAACCCCACCACAGTTCAACTTGAAAACCCACTCTATGGAGAAGGAATTCTGTGCCCCTCCTGCACACCTCCCTGATAGGAATGCCAGGACGCCGGTCCCAAGGACTTGCCACAAAGCGGGCACAGAATCGGGAAGGCCTCTTGGCCTCACTTGGAAGAACAGGCCGGGGGCCTGGAAACCCAGCAGAGCGGGCTGGCTGCACTGTGAATGAAGACCACCCTTGGTTTTCCAAGCGAAGGTACAGCACCCTCCAGAGAAGGGGAGCAAAACCTTGGCCCGGCCCATGTAGAAATTCTGCATCACCGATTTTCAGTGCATTTAGAATGAAATGGCGGCTCGCCCCTGAGACAATGAGAAGCTTGGCCAATTAAACGTGCATTTGGGTACATCTGAATGGTCCTGTTTTTCTCCAGGATACAAGTAATTCTAGAGGCCAACTCAGCAGACTGATTAAATCCCCCAAGCTCATAACCCAACAAAACCGAGTCGTGGTCCCCCCCTCCCAAAACGGGCACGTACAATAGCAGACTTCAATGTACACACATCCGCCTCCATGAAGACAAGGCCTTAGTTCAGTACCCACGCGGGTCAAGCGATGCCTTGTTTCCATCTCTGCAACGTAAGGTCTGATTTTACCCAGCAAGAATGCAACGTTGCAGAAACTTTCTGCTCTCCAAGGCTAACCTCCTGTCCACCATATCACATTTTGGAAGCAGTAATAATAATAATAACAAAAAAGGACCGGACTGAGTGCTGATACAGAAATGCAAAGTAACAGTCCTTTCACACTCAGGTCTCTGTCCAACCCTGCACCATCACTGCAGATGGAACAACCCACCCCTTGTGCAAGCCTCCCCCCCCGCAACGCAAGACCACTCCCCCCCTCCTCACCCTGCAATGCCCTTCCAGGCCTACGCTTTCCTGTGACCCCATTTGCCAGCCTGACCCTGCAAAGCGAATCCACGTTTTGGCACCCCCAAAACACACTCTTGGTATGCAAGCCCCCCCGCCCCCTGGAGCTTTCGAGAGAGCATTTCGCTCTCCCACACGTGCATGCACACGAACACAGCAGACACACAAACATGGCACCACAACTTCACATGGGAGGAATTTTCAGTGCAAAGACGGGAGCTTTTTCCTCAAAAGAAAATGGAAACCAACCGTTCCCCACAGCATTTCCCTCTCACCCAGACATACACCAACTGCCCCCCCCGCCCCGCCCCGCCTACAAAGGCATATATGCAGGTGCAAGCTAACAGGAGACTTCGCCAATACACGGGCCCATTTTCATACAACCCCACAGCTCAAGTCCAAACACATCCGCAAGGCAAAGTGACCGCTTTTTGCACAGACCATATTGGTATCGATTGCACAACGCTCTGTGCAAGGACGGCAAGGCAAATAAATTACTGGTTTTAGACTCCCTTTTTGTGCTAAACAATCTAAGAAGCACGCTTGGCGTCCAGCGGTAACGGCAGGAAAGGCGACCTCTCTTATTGAAGTCCTCCTCATCCAACAACCTCACAACGCAAGCCCACCGATATCCTTCCAGAAGGAAAAGGAACAGTGCAAGCTATGCCCAGTGTTACACATCCTGAAGTTTCGTGTGCGTGCGTATGCGGATTGTGTGCATATATTTGCTTTTTCTCTTGTCACGAGCTCCTCACACGCTAAAAAATGAATAAACATCCTGATTATTTTAAATAATGTAAAATCATGTTCCCGCCCAATGGGAAAGAATAAGCCATTTATTGTACGTTCCCTTATTAATTATGCTGTAGCGATGTGATGCACTCCCAACAAGGCACAAAGTGCAAAATTATAAGCCCCCATTAAGCTTTTTATATTAACGCGAGGGCTCATTTACGCTCCATTGCAATGCGAAACAAACACAAGCCAGTGCTCAGCAACCGGCGGAGTCATAACCCCTTAGTATTCTTCGCAGTAATAGGACCACTGCGAATAACGCATGCACGAATTTTATTCTCCTCAAAGCGCATAAAGGGGGGGGAACCAACCGGGCGACGAGCAACTTTTGATACCGCGCTAGTGCAGAAGAGACTGCAAGAATGAAGCGGGGGCAACAATTACGAAACGAAGCGGTGCGAGGCAAGGCACCGACCTGAGCGGCTGCTCTTTCGGGGAAGGGAGGCGGTGGCCCCTTGCGATGCTAATCCTGGCGGCGACCCCCTCCCCCGAAAGCTCAGGCAAGCGCCATCCCTCCCTCCGTGCTCCCCCGCCCGCACCTACCCGAAACAGGCGCCGCGAGGCGGCCCGGCGGGCGACGGTCCAGCCGACGGCGCAGAAGAGGCAGAGCAGCGGCTCGCTCCAGGCCAGCCGGGCGCTCTCGGACCACGTCCGCCGGGAGAGCTCCCAGCCGCAGCCGCCGCAGCCGCGCACCGCCTCGGCCAGGCTGCCGTAGCTGCGCCGCACCAGCTCCCCGTAGCCCGGCATGGGCTCCACCGGCGGATGCATCGTCTCGCCCGCCACCGCGCAGCGGCAATGGCAACGCAAGGCAAAGGCTGCTGCTGCCGCTGCCGCCGCCGCACGCCGGGCCCGCGCCAGCTGTTGGCAGCTGGAACGCCGCGCGCGGCAGCCCGCTCTGCGCACGCGCGGCGTCCGGGCGGGGCGGGGGAAGCGGCGGCCGGAGGGAGACGGCGCAGGTGCTCTGCGCTGGCCGGCCGCCAGAGGGCGCGCCGGCTGCCCGCGGCCCCCCACGCCCCTGCGGGACTCCAGGTCCCAGCAGCCTGCCGCGAGGACCCCCAGAGCGGAGCTGCAGGTCCCAGCAGGCCAGGGGAGCCCCACTTCGCCCCTGGGCGAGGAAAGGGCGGGGGCCGCACTGGGTTGTGCTTGATCAGGCCCTGCCCTGCCCTGCCCTGCCCTGCAGGAACCTCGTTTTCCAGGGGCCAGCCAGGTGTTTGCAAGGAGCCGAGCGGAAAAACCGGAAGGCAGCGGCGCCCGGCCCTCGCTCTCCCCTCTTCTCACTGGCCGGGAGCCATGACACAGCGCGATCCGACGTGGTCTCCCAGCGATGGCTGTTGGTTCGTTGCACGTTTCCAGGCATCCGCTCTCCTTCCCCAAGGCCTAGAAACTTGAATTCTTAACGGTCATTTTTGGGAACTGGCCTCCTTCCACAGCAAGCACGTCGGCCGGGCAGTATGGGGAAGAGCACCTGAAGCAAATATCCGGGGGGGGGGGGGGCGGCTGACCTACTCAGCGCCTTGGGGCTAGTTCTGCACCGCAAGCCAGAAAGCAGACTCTGGTGCCCAAGGCAGCCTCTTCTCTGGGACCAGTCTAGCAGGGGCAGGGAGAGGAGGGGAAGGGGCATCCCCGCTGCCCCCCACCACTGCTCCAGGCTAAAGCCCATTCATTTCTGCGGCTCCTGCACCAGTGCCGGAGGCCCTGGGACATACACAGCCCCCCCCCCCCTTTAGGTCTCCCACTGGCCACCAGACAAAGACGACTTTCTTTTCCCTGCCAGCAGACTCCTGGCTAAGAACGGTCTCCACAATGGGGCCATTCAGAAATGTAGCAAGCGGTGTGGATACAAAGGCATTATGGCAGAAGCGAGTGTGTGTGTGTGTGGGGGGGGTAAATCCCCCACAGTACACAAGCGGGCTTAGCCCTCCACCCACTTTGCCCCCTTTGATTGGAAGCAACAGAAAAGGGAGCAAAAAACCCGGTTCCCACGCCCACCCCCCGCTTTCTAAAAACAATCCTGAAAAAAGACAAGCGGGGTGGGGGGGGGGGTTCAGAATTAAGAGAATGACGGGATCTGTCCAAAACCTTATTGTGTAAGGTGACGTGTCAGCATTTCACTGACAATACCGACCTGGCACCAACATTATTTAATTTCTGTCCCGCCCAATGGCCAAATTATCAGCTTTCTAGTGCCAGGTTAAGTTCTTCCGTCAAGCATTTGTCAGCCTATATTGACCCTGTTGGGAAAATTTGGATAAATCCTGTCTGAAAAGCATTACTCCTGTGTGCCTTAGCCTTGTGGGATCAAATCCTGCCTGCCTTCTCAAAACCAAGCAGTCACTGTCTAAAATGGCATTCCCTGCTCCTTTCTCTCACCTTTAGCTGTAGGCTTCAGTAGACAGGCCATTCAGTCCAAATATACATTGTAAATAGTCATTGTTGGAATTCAAGGAAGTATCTTTCAAGCCCAGAGGCTCCATGTGCCCTGGCCAATTCAGAAGGTTAGCGTAGGTAAGAGTCTTGAGTTCATGCATATTTCTCAGTAGCTTGAATTTACATGTCTGAGCAGACCTGGGGATGGGTTCAAGTTACTCAACTGAAGTGGCAATACAGGCAATTAGAAATATTGTAATCTCATTGTTACTGTGATTGACTGACATTCCTTTATCTGTTCTGTCCTGTGATGACCTCAGAATCTTATTGTAATCTCTGCATTCTGTCACCAATTGCCCTGTACCTGTGTACCTATAAATGCCCTGTAATGGTATTGAAGCTTGGCAGCAGAGTTCACCTCTGCCTGCCCGGTAATGCATTATTGTGAGTACAGACCCACGGGGAACCTGGGCGAGACAATAAAGCCTCAGATGGTCTGGACGCTTGGTCTTTCCCACAAACCCGAGTTTTATTCCCTCTTCTCAAATTGAGATTCCGGGATTCTGACAACCTGTTAACCAGATCTTGAAATGTCTGAGAGTTTAAAATTGGTTTTAGATATATATTACTTCTTCTTGTAAAATGTACAGATGCATAAGCATACACCACAAAGTATTGTTAAGATTTTAATCTTTGTGCATACTCAGACACCTTCAGTTATGGAGGGGTACAGAAACAAAACAAATTAACCCTTCACTCAGATGAGTTTTGTACAGTGGTACCTCGACTCACAAACACCTCAGTTCACGACCAAATCGGGTCACGAACAGAAATTTCTGAAAAATGTTGCCTCAGGTCACCAGCTCAGCATCGGGTGACGCGCCTGTGATTGTGCTCGCCTCCCCACCCAGCGTGCCGGCAATTGCACCCTCATTCCCCCCTTCAAATTTTTGTGATTTAAAAAAAAGTAGTTGCAGAACGGATTAACCTTATTTACATTGAACCTTATGGGGAAATTTGACTTGGCTCAGGGCCAATTTGGGCCATGACCAGAGTCCTGGAACGGATTAAGTTCGTGAGCCGAGGTACCGCTGTCCTCACGAGGTCAGACTGGATGGCCCAGGAGACCCCTTCTGACTCGCTCTATTTCTATGCTACTCCTGAATGTTCAAAGGCTGAATGGAATCTGTGCTTGTATGTCGTTCTCTTCTGAACCCCTTTAAAGACCTCCCAACTTCTCGAGACTTCAGAAGAGACCTAAAAGAAATCCTATTGTTTGCAGTCTCCAGAAAAGTAAATGCATCCTGAAATAGGAATACAGATTTATTGTATTCCACAGTGCGTAATATTGTGCTCTACTTGCAGGATGGGAACTTGGGGGGTTATTTGATGAAGCCTCCAGGGAGTGGAGGGGATGCTGACCCGCATCCCCATGGTTTTACTGGCAGATGATGGAACAGTTCCTGGCTTGGTGGCCCAGCAGAAGTTTCCCAGGCAGCGGGCAGTGGGAACAACCCTTCTTTACCCCAGACTGCTCAGAAAGCCTGGTCGGGTTACTCAGTGGCAAATACATTTGTTATTTAAAGCCAGTCCCTCCCTCGGCACCATGACGGCTAGAATAGTATTGTGCCTTTCGGGGAGGAAGCGCTGCCCACTGGCAGAGCAGATACACTGCTGGCTGAAGGTTCCCGAGTTTATATAAGGCGATTAATATCTCCATGATTGGCAAGGTAAATGTTTATATAAGGCGATTAATATCTCTGTGATTGGCAAGGTAAATCTAATGGAAATTTTATTGGGAATGTTTAATGGTAGGTTTCTCACGGTGCTCGCTTTTCACAGGCGCGCCAAAAACGCAGCGGAAAGGGACAACTCGGTGGTGCCTGTGGCTGATGGACACACATTTCGCCATACGAGGGAGGAGCCGACTCCCGCACTTCTCCAGGGCCGCATCCTGTCCCCTGTTGGGAGGTCCTCTTGTGCAGCCGGTCTCACGCGCAGGGGGCGAACTGGATGGCCAGGCGGTCAAATTCATTTTCCTTCAGAAGGGAATGGGGCGGGAGAAAGGTGGTTTTAATTTTAAGGGGAAGGATCAACAAGGGAATTCTGAATCAGTCTGATCCGACAAGAGAGGGGTGTCAGTGCGCTGGCCGATCACTGCTGCACTGCTGCAAGAAATAAACGGGCGAAGGAGCTTGTGCCCCTGAACTATCCAAGTTCGTTGGCTCTGTGTTACCTGCTCTGGTCTTCTCTTCAGTATTGGCCCAGAAGTGCAGTGCTCTTTCCTTTCCTGTCTTCCTCCAACTATTTGCTTCAATATTACGATTTTTTAAAAATCGCTGCTCTGCTGTTTTAGAGGAGGCGGCTATCTGGGGCTAGTAGCCATGCTGGTTGCCTGCCACCTTCCTGGGCCAGAGCAGCCAGCCTGCCTGCATACCCCAGTTGCGGAGAAGCTGGGCAGGGGGAGGTCTGGCACCCATCCTGCTTGGGGGCTCCTGCGAGAGCTGGCTTGCCTCCACGTGAACAGAGTGCCGGACTGGATGGGCCTTGCATCTGGCCCAGCGGGGCTTTTCTTATGCTTGGATTCCTCAGTAGCTCTCAAAGGTTTGCAACAATTGAAACAACATAATGCAATTTTATGCATTCATGAATTGAACTGAATGCATGCATTCAGGAGGCGAGTTCAAAGATTTCTCTAGGGTCCCCTTGCTGTCTCTCGCAGCCGAAACAGTCCTTCGGCATCTTAGAGAGAGAGCGCCTGTGCCCCCACAGACTGCATCCATGGGGCCACAATATTCTTCGGAGTCAGAGATTCAAGATCGGAAGCGCAGCCCTGTGCCTGCGGCTGGGGATCTGCACTCGGTTCCCTCTCCCCGCAAAAAGTTACTGCTGTGTCTGTCGGCTGCAAAGTGTCCTCGAATGGGTGAGCAGGGAGGGGAAGAGACTGGGGAGAGCAGGAGACAAGGCACCCCTGCAGCCCCGGCCTCCTTCCTTCCCACACCCTCTGAAGCACCGCAGCAAGCCGGCTGAAATGGGGCATTCACCGGTGGCGTGGGAAGGGCTGTGAGCAGTGATGGGCAGAAGGAGAATAAAGAAAGAAGGCAGCAATTCCATCATCAAGCGTGTGCCTTCACAGCACAGTCCTTGCTGAGACCCTGAGGAAGGACCGTTAACAAATGCAGTGCGACAAAAACCGACTGTCCTAATTCAAGGACAAAGGGCTTCTCCGTCAAAGGATCAGCACGATCTGTGCCGGAATGGTTGTCCTTTGTTTCAATGCAGCTTTCTTTTATCAGTGACAGGGCCCAAAACTCAAAGCAGCAGCCTCAGTGGAGAGATGCAAGGAAAAAAGACGCATTACCTTGGCCTGGTACTCCTTTATGAAAGGGTGGTTGCGGTGAGCATCCTTCAGTTGCGACAGGTACCGGTTGGTAACCTTGAAAAGAGAGAATGCAGAAGGGACAGAAATAGTAAGATGCCGCCAGAAGGGGAAACGAGATTCTTATAGTTAGTATTATAGCCAAAGTGTTCTAGGTGGGTCATGGCAATTCACAGAAAGCACAAACCATGGATGCAATAAAAAGCATAAATACACACAATTTACAAATAGAATTCAAAAACCATTGGAGCAGCTTAAACAAGCAGTTTGAGAGGTACAAAATAAGCACAATGGGAAAAGCAGAGAGGTGGGGAGAGGAGAGAGAAAAATGGGGGTTGGATAAAATTCTCCAATAAAAAACCCGGATAGTTACTCCTTAAGACAGAGGAAAGGCTGTTTCACTTTTCCGAAAGAAGGGCAATGTTCAAAGGGGCAGAGCATGTTCCATACAAATTTGCTCTCACAGCAGGAGCCAGACGGGGGGCTGACCTGAGCCACCTCTGGCCTCTTTCGTCTGCTCTGGGGAATAATGATTAGCACAACTGAGCAGTGCAGGATTTGGAGGAAGTTGCCCAGGAACCCTGAGCAGCACAAAGCGTTTTGGGGAGGAGGAATGGGGGCTGGTGGGGGGATTGGCTTTGCGGGTGATGGAGGGGGAACATGCACCAGAGGGGGATTAAAGGTGAAATGTTTCGAGGCATTTTCATGCGAGGGTTTTTCTTGCAACATCGGGCTCTACAGGCTGATCCTCCCGTCCTGTGGTGTGGCTTGGACAGAGGCCAAACGGCTGGGGATTTGGGGGAAGGAAAGGGACCTGGGGGGTGCTGCTTTCTGCTTAAAAGGGCAACAGACATTCAGGGAATTACTCCTGGAGGGAGAGTGGGGGACCTGCCAAAATCCAAGACTTCATTACAGTCACGTAATATGCCCCCTTTTAAAAGCATGTCGAGAAGGGCTCAGGCGCAAAAGCTTTGATCGCCGGAACGTTCTGGAGCAACCAAGAATGAGGGCCATGGAGCCCCCTGGCACAAGTGCTGCTGGCTGCATCAGACCTCCAGCTCGCCTAGACTGGCATCAACTGGCTGTGACTTGCCCTGTTCTTCCCCAGCCTTGGCTGAAGATGGCAGAGGTCAAGCCAGGGACCCTCTGCTTCTGCGGCAATTCTTCTCCAGAAGCTGTGGGACCGCCCAAGCCACCCTCTGCCAGGCAAACCGAGGGCCCTTCTCGCGTGGGGGGGACTGCTGAGCAGCCCAGAGCAGGCTCGCTCTTCCCTTCCACCAGGAGCTTGCTCACCTCAGGGGGCTTCCCCAGGTGCTGTGAGAGGACCACGAAGTTGACCAGGGTCTCCGGGTGGCTGCTGTCCTGTAGGAGATCGAGGGACAGGACAGTCAAGAGTGTGGCCTCCGATCTGAGAGGCCGCCCTGCTGAAGACAGGGCAACTCTTTTCCCCGTGGTGCGAGGAGACAAGCGTGGAAGTGGCAGGCCGCTCTCCTTCACCGAGGTCACCCCATGAGCTCCCGTCCTCTTCTCGACGGGACTCTCGCCCGGCCTCTCTCCCGTGGGAAGAACCCACCTTGTCGAGGGCCTCGTGAAGCACACCCTCCGCGTCTTCCCACTTGCCCTGGGCCATGTAGCAGGCAGCCTGGCCGTTCAGCAGCAGGAGGGTGGGGGACCACTTCTCGGCCATCTCCTGGAAGATGTAATAAGCATCCTGCAGTTTCTCGCCCCCCTGGAAAAAAAAAGAAAAGCAGAGCAGCAGTCAGAATGGGGAGTGGAGAACCCACACGGAGGGAATTCACGTGCTCGCTCACTGCCCCTTCCAGACTGGAGTATGTCGGAGGTCAAACGAAGCCTTTTTGTTCCTCTCCTCCACCTGCAACATCTCTTCACGTTAAGAAACAAGGCCATCTTAACTTACTGCCTTATCGATCCAGACCGTCGTCAGGGTTAGTGGAAGCAGAAGGCCAGCACTGCTCTAACTACTGCACCAAGCAGCCTCACCTTTAGCCCAGGTCCAAAAGTCCAACTAGCAGGGGATGAGGGGAGCTGCAGTCCATCCTACCCAGGGGGAAGGGGGTGAGGAAGGAGGCTGTCAAGCACCCCCTTCGGCCCTGGAACGCGGTACCCACCGTGGCCAGGTTCACCCAGGCGGTGGCCAACTGTGTCAGGGTGGCATCTTCGTCTTGCTCTTGCATCTTTTTCAGTTCCTTTCTAGAGGAAGAGGAAGAGGAAGAGGAAGAAAACATGAGCACGGGGAGCAGCAGGTGAGGCTCATGGGGTACCGAGGCGCAAAGGGGGCTGCTGGCACGGTGACTTGCGTTGGCCCCCAAACAACTCCCAGCTCTGGCGAGCTGGAGGAGGCGGCGGAGGCCCCCAGGAGGCAGGACACGTGGCACCATCGCGGGGCTCTTACCGTGCCAGATCCAGGCGGTCCAGCTTCAGCAGGATCTGGATGGTCATCCCCATGCTGGAAGAGAGCAGAGGAAAGCCTGCATTCCATTATCACGTGGCTGGGAGGACACTGGCGGCTGTAAGCAGGGGTTTCCTGCCGTGGGGTGGACTAGAGGACCTTTAAGGTACCTTTCTCGTGGTGATGCAGTCCTCGCCTGCTTTGGGGGCCTCGGATCCTTCCCTGTTCAAGACACGTAGGACCTCCACAGGTGGACAGTTCCTACCTCAACCCAGCTTCCATTTCACAGAAGCTCACGGGGCTGCAGGCAAAGGGGTGGGGCCAGAAAATGCAGCAGAGTTTCTCGCACGTGCTCCTCCTGAAAGTTACCCAGCACCTTGGCAGGCACAGCTCTACCGTTCAGGATGGACAAGGATACATGCAAAGGCCGGGAGACCACCAAACCATCTGTGGTTGGGGGAAACGGGGGAGACCCATGGGACAGGCAGTGCCACCTGGAGAACACCAGGTGGTTGGCCCGGGAGCCTGGGCCGGAGTTTTACACCTCTGGAATAAATTATGTCACTCTGTGAACCGCCTAGAGCATATGGACAAAAAAGCAGCGTATTTGTCCCTAAAATGAAAAACAACAACAACACATACTTTCAGGGTTCTTTTTCCTGGGGGTGACCTGCCAATCCCTGAAGCTGTGAAGGATTATGGGTGTGGAAAATGCTGTTTGACAAAGTGGCGGGTGGGCAGCAGGTTAAGATCAAACAGGGCTATGCAATCTGGCACCATCTGGAGAGCTGGGACTTCCACTCCCATCAACCCCACCCAGTCAAGCCAATAGTCAGAAATTATGGAGCTCGAATTCAAAAGTATCTGAAGGAATTTCCTGGCCACCCTCAGGGGAAAATAATTATCCAACCAAAACTTTTCAGATAAAGTGGGCTAACCGGTCCATGAAACAAGCATGGCATTATAGAAGAGAAGTCTCTGTGTTTTTCAGGGAATGGATGCATCTGGCTGTCGTGAGCGGAACAGGCTGGAGGCGGGGGTCAGACTAGATGGCCTGCGAGACCCCTTCTGACTCACTCTCTTTCTATGTTTCTAAGTCTCTGCCTCTCTTGGGGCACGAGATGGTCTGCAACCAAGGAGAGACGGCATTGATGCTCTGCAGGCAATTCTTGATGCAGACAAGAAAAACTAACATCATCGCACTCACCACTCCAAGCTCTCCCCCTGGTGCAGGGCACGCAGCGCTGCATCCGGGTTCCCATCGTGGAAGTAGACGGAAGCTGCCATCAGCGGGAATGTCGTGTTGGTGACGTCCACGCTCTTGGCCATTTTCTTGTCCAACTCAGCCACAATTGCATCCCTTTAAGAAAGAGAAGGGAAACCGCACAAGGATCAATGCCACGAAACGGGTACAGCACAGGGCTGACTTCTTAGGTGGACTTACTGTGCTTTTCCAGGGGCCCCCAAAAAAGGTCAGTAGTTTGGAACCATGGGAGTGTTGTGGGCATGCTAACAAAATGGCAGCCATGGGGCAGGGGGATGCTGCTTCTTTATTATTTTGGCAAAGTCATAAAAATGGATGGCTGGAAAACACTTCCCCAAAACCAAAGGGACAAGACTAGTCTTTTAAAAAGCAATCTGTCTGGGAGCTCAAGGATGAGGTAGTGCTGGGGTGAGCCCAACGCAAGAAACTTCTCTTTGGAATTTAAGTAAAGACAGGATGTCATGCAGCCAGCTGAAGTAATTTATATGGAATCTCCGGAATTAAAGTGATAACTGGAAAGATGGAGGCAGAAACCAGTTTTAAGACTATTTCCTGAAGCTTAATCTCAAGTCATGATCAATGCAGAAATACAACACAACCAGTATTTAGCACTGCACTTAAAAAAAATTAGTCTGTATGATTGTAAAAGTGATTTCTCTGAGAACGCCAAAGAGGGAAACAGAATTGATTAATAATCCCAGTTCCTACAGTGTCTCCTGAAAATAAGATCAGGTGTTATACTAATTTTTGCTCCATAAGGCACACTAGGGCTTATTTTCAGGTGATATCTTATTTTTTCCATGTATAACTATCTACATTTATTAATGTACAAAATATACATTTATTCATGCACAAAAATATACATTTATTCAAATACAGTCATGTCATTTTCTTCTGGAACATCATCATAACTTTCTAAACCCCGAACTGTGTTGCAACAGACTTACTAAATGCATCCGTCTGGCTGATGCTCTTAACTGGGCCTTATTTTGGGGGTAGGGCTTATATTAGGAGCATCCTGAAAAATCATGCTAGGGCTGATTTTCCGATTAGGTCTTATTTTCAGGGGAAAAGGGTACATTGTGGCAATATGTTCTTCAAGTAGTTGCTGAAGTCACAAACTCTTATTTGAAGCTGGAAGGCCTAGAAAAAAAGGTGTTTTGAGGCTGCCTCAAAAAACCAGAGATTTATTCCAATGGGCCTCCTTGGGGAAGGGGCAGCAGAGCAGGGCAAGAAAACCCCAGTAAGGCTTCGGCCAGCGGGCCACACCCCAGGGCCCGCACAACCCCATCATCCGTAGCCAGCCACGACACGGTCCTGCCTGCACTGGTAGATCAGTGGGTCCTGCTTTTGAAAAGAGCGAAATAAGAGGGACCGGCCAGTCCTACAGTCAGCTCTGCAAACAAACTGGCAGCGGCTGCAGCAGTTTTAATACCAGGGCAGAATCTGCCTCCTTGCGGATTTCAAGCTAGGCAGTGACTCCTAAGCCAGGCTGAAACGCTGAAACGTTTCAAGATCAGCCCAAGTGTAGAGGGCCCTGGGATTTTAAACAAGGGACACAGGACACACACCTGCACCTCCGCCCTGCTAAGGAACAGGTGCGTTTCCAGGAAAGGACCCTCATCTCCACCAGGCGAGAGTCCTACTCACCTTTGGCGCTCGTTGGAAAGGTATTCGGCAAACATCCGCACAGCCTGGAGTTCTGGACAAGCACTGGGCTTGATTTCATCTAGCACCACACCGTATTTTCGCTGTGCGTGGGAGCGAGAGCGAGAGAGAGAGAAGGGGAGATAAAAAGAAGAGAGAGAACGGGATCTTATTTCTACAAAGCTTGAATATGAATTCATGATGGCGGAGCCCAAACAGGCTGCCTTGGAAATCCTGTCCTAAGGAGGCTGGGAGGGAAACGGATGGCCCGCTAGATGTTGCTGAACTCGGACTCCTCAAAGATAGGCTACATGGGCTAGGAGCTGTACGCAAACCTCCCACCCAGGGAGTCATTCTGGTGAATGGGCAGGCTAGAATTTGAACACATAAACCTCCAGTAGGAAATCAAAATAAGGAAGACTTTTTTGAATCCGGACTGTGCCATCAGCTGGCAAAAGTCAGAAGAAGCCTCAGGAATGCCTCCACAAACTCAAATATTTATGTTCTTGAGGGAGAGACATGGTGCTAAGCCTTTATTATTTGGTAAACTTGCTAACCCCCTCATGGATCACTGCCTTGCCGTGGCGAAGGGGCTTGCGTAGCTCAATGAAGCTATGAGCTATGCCGTGCAGGGGCACCCAAGGCGGACAGGTCATAGCAGAGAGCTGTGACAAAAGGTGATCCACTGGAGAAGGAAATGGCAACCCACTCTAGTATCTTTGCCATGAAAACCCCATGGACAGTACCAAAAGGCAAAGAGATATGACGCCAAAGATGAGCCCCTCAGGTCGGAAGGTGTCCAATGTGCTACTGGGGAAGAGCGGAGGGCTAGTACTAGTAGCGCCAGAAAGAGTGAAGCGACTGGGTCAGAGCCGAGAGGACACTCAGCTCCGGATGTGTCTGGTGGTGAAAGGAGAGTCCGATGCTGGAAAATCTATACTCCACAGGAACCTGGAATGCAAGATCCATGAATCAAGGCAAGCTGGACGTGGTCAAACAAGAGATGACAAGACTGCACATCAACATCTTGGGAATCAGTGAACTAAAATGGATAGGAAAGGGTGGATTTAATTCAGGTGACCATCAGGTATACTACTGTGGGCAAGAATCCCTCACAAGAAATGGAGCAGCCTTCATAGTCAATAAATGAGTAGGAAAAGCAGTACTGGGATACAATCTCCAAAATGAGAGAATGATCTCAGTTCAAATCCAAGGCAAACCATTCAGCATCCCAGGAGTCCAAGTCTGTGCCCCAACCACTGGTGCTGAAGAGGCTGAAGTTGACCGGTTCTATGAAGGCCTACAACACCTTCTAGAATCAACACCAAAAATGATGTCCTCATCATCATGGGGGATTGGAATGATAAAGTAGGAAGCCAAAAGATAACCAGAATAACAGGCAAGTTTGGCCTTGGAGTACAAAATGAAGCAGGGCACAGGCTGGCAGAATTTTGTCAAGAAAAGACGCTGGTCATAGCAAACACTCTTTTCCAACAACCCAGGAGATGACTCTACACATGGACATCACCAGATGGTCAACACAGAAATCAGATTGACTATGTGCTCTGCAGCCAAAGATGGAGAAGCTCTATACAGTCAGTAAAAACTAGACCAGGAGCTGACTCTGGCTCAGATCATGAGCTTCTTCTTGCAAAATGAAGAACTATGGATGGAAGTTCACAACATTGTACAAGAGGTAGCAACTCAAACCATCCCAAAGAAGAAATGCAAGGAAGCAAAATAGCTGTCTGAGAAAGCTTTACAAATAGCTGAGGAAAGAAAGGAAGTGAAAGGCAAAGGAGAAAGATACACACAATTGAATGCAGAATTCCAGAGAATAGCGAGAAGAGATAAGAAGGCTTTCTTCAATAAACACTGTAAGGAAATAGAGGGGGGGAAAGTAGAATGGGGAAGACTAGAGATCTCTTCAAGAAAATTGGAGATATGAAGGGAATGTTTCATGCAAAGATGGACATGATAAAGGACAACAATGGCAGGGACCTAACAGAGGAAGAAGAGATTAAGAAGAGGTGGCAAGATTACACAGAATAACTATACAAGAAAGATCTTAATAACCTTAAAAAGATCTTAATCTTAATAATCTGATAACCAGGATGGGGTGGTCGCTGACCTCGAGCCAGACATCTTAGCAACAACAAAGCTAGTGGAGGAGACAGTATTCCAGCTCAGCTGTTCCAAATCCTAAAAGATGATGCAGTAAAAGTGCTGCACTCAATATGCCAGCAAATTTGGAAAACTCAACAGTGGCCACAGGATTAGAAAAGGTCAGTTTACATTCCCATCCCAAAGAAGGGCAATGCCAAAGAATGTTCAAACTACCGCACCATTGCACTCATTCCACATGCCAGCAAAGTTATGTTCAAAACCCTACAAGCTGGGCTCCAGCAGTATGTGGACCAAGAACTACCAGAAGTACAGGCAGGATTTCAAAGAGGCAGAGGAACTAGAGATCAAATTGCCAACATACGCTGGATCATGGAGAAAGCTAGGGAGTTCCAGAAAAACATCTGCTTCTGCTTCATTGACTATACTAAATCTTTTGATTGTGTGGATCACAACAAATTGTGGCAAGTTCTTATAGAGATGGGAGTACCAGACTATCTTATTTGTCTCTTGAGAAACCTAAATGCGGGTCAAGAAGCAACAGTGAGAACTGGACACGGAACCACTGATTGGTTCAAAATTGAGAAAGGAGTTCAGCAAGGCTGTATACTGTCACCTTGTCTATTTATATGCAGAGAGAAAGGTGGGGCTGGATGAATCACAAGCTGCCAGGAGAAATATCAGCAACCTCAGATATGCAGATGATACCACTCTAATGCCAAAGTGAAGAGGAACTAAAGAGCATCTTGATGCAAGTGAAAGAGGAGAGAGCAAAAGTTGGCTTGAAACTCAACATCAAGAAAACTAAGATCATAGTCTCCGGTCCTCTCACTTCCTGGCAAATAGAAGGGGAAGAAATGGAGGGAGTGACAGATTTTATTTTCCTGGGCTCCAAGATGACCACAGATGGGGACTGCAGCCAAGAAATTAAAATATGCTTTCTTCTTGGGAGGAAAGCTCTGGCAAATCTAGACAGCATACTAAAAAGCAGAGACATCACCCTGCCAACAAGAGTGCATATAGTCAAGGCTATGGTTTTCTCAGTTGCAATGTATGGCTGTGAAAGCTGGACCATAAGGAAGGCTGAGCACCGAAGGATTGAGGCCTTTGGATTGTGGTGCTGGAGGAGACTCCTGCAAGTCCGTTGGACTGCAAGGTGATCAAATCGGTCAGTCTTAGAGGGGATCAACCCTGACTGCTCTTTAGAAGGCCAGATCCTGAAGATGGAACTCAAATACGTTGGCCACCTAATGAGAAGGAAGGACTCCCTGGAGAAGAGCCTGATGCTGGGAAGGATTGAAGGCAGAAGAAGGGGGCGGCAGAGGATGAGGTGGCTGGATGGAGTCACTGAAGCAGCTGGCGTGGGCTTAGGCGGACTCCGGGGGATAGTGGAGGACAGGAGGGGCTGGAGGAATGTTGTCCATGGGGTCGCAATGGCGACTTTATGACTAGCAACATCAACACCAACAAAAGTTGCTAAATGATGCCTCACTGGCTATTTAACAAAAATGACGCGCAACTCATGTTTTTTGTGGATTTTAATTGTAAACCACTTTGGAAGCCTATCTTGGCAGGAAATTGAGGGACAATGATCTTCTATAAACAAACATCACACCTTCAAAGCTAAAACACCCCACAGTTTCAGGAACAACTGCCAGGTCTGGAAGCAGCTTCCCTCTACTGTCTCACACCAATCCATTAGCCTTACCTGGGCAATGTAGGCACGATACAAGAAAACGTCCCTCTCTACTTCTTTCGCAGAAGTTGACGGCTGAAAGGAATAGAGAGAAGGAAAATCGTTTCCTAGGCAGCCTAAACAAACAGACAAACAGCCCACCTAACGTGCAACTCCGGCAAGTTCTGTGGGACTGCAGCCTTCAGCCTCATCCAGCCCTGCTGGGCAGCTGCACTCTACAGCATCACTTAAGGGGGAGCCCAGACATTGGGCTCAAGAAGGCATTGCTACCGCCTGCTTCATTTTACCCTTCCCAGCCAGAAAGGACCTCCGTAAAAGTTCTGCAGCCAAAAACGATCCCCTGAGTCAGGCTGCATCAGGCTCTTCTCTCCCGCTTGCTTTTCCTTTCATGCTGCCTTGCAGATTTCAAGTCTGACAGCAAGGACTGTCTCGCTCTGGGAACCTCTGGAGCAGGCTAGGGAGATGCAAACTACCGTAGGCCAAGGTATCACAGAAACACACTGCAAGTATTAAACGGTGGCACGGTGAAGCGATGGGGTGAACGAAGGTCTGCGAGACCTGGGTTCTAGCACCCTCGTGGCGAAGCCTAATTACATCTACTTCCTGCTCTGAGCACTTCCAGGAAAGCAAGGCGGCTGCCACAACCCCCCTTTCCGTTCTGCCCTCACGACAACTCTGCGAGGCAGAGTAGCGCAGTCCGGGCCGGGCTTTCAGGAAGGAAGCCTTGACAGCTCCCCAGGCGGGCTGCCTCCGAGGGCGCAGCACGCAAGGGTACGGCACGGAGAGCGCAGAGGATACCGCCAACCGCCGGCCAGCCCTTTGGGGCGGCCGCGCCTCACCTTCACGCGCTGCGCCTCGTTGATGGCGGCCTGCGAGGCGCCGATGTAGAAGCTGTTCCGCACGTCGAAGAGCTCGTCGGCCTCGCCCGTGGCCGCCATCGCCGCAGCCCTGACACGTCCGCTGCCTCGCGCGCAGGCGCGGCGCAAAGCGCGCCGGGAGGGCGCCCGGGCCGGCCAATCGGGAGAGGGAGAGGCGCGCGGCCTGCTGGGAGGAGTGGCTTTCATTAAGAGGGTTCAATAGGCCGGAAAGGCCCTGCGCGAAGAACGACGCGTAGAGCGAGGAAATCTAGACTGACGCGAGGAGCTGGACGTCCAGGGGCTTACCTAGCGCCACGCTGAACGGCACGGGCGGATACAGAAACTGCCCCCTAGTTTCTTGCCCTGCCTGGGCAATTTTCGGATGGTCCCAATAAAGCCTTGGCCTCGTGTGGATCGTTATTTATTTATTTATGGGAGTTATATCCCGCTTCCCCCCCATGAGCTTGTAGTGGTTAAGAGCATGGAACTGGGACTCAGACAACCTGGGTTCTAGTCCCCACTCGGCCATGGAGCCAACTGGGTGACTTTGGGCCAGTCACAGACTCTCAGCCCAACCTACCTCGCAGGGTTGTTGTTGTGGGGATAAGATGGAGGAAGAGAATGATGTAAGCTGCCTTGAGCCTTTTGAGGAAAAAGGCAGGATATAAATCCATAAATAAATAAATAAATAAAAATAAATAAATAAAAATGAGCTCAAAGCGGTTTACATCCTTCTCCTCCTCCTGCTCTCAATCTTGTTCCCCACAACAACGTTGCGAGGTAGGCTAGGCTGAGAGTCTGACTGCCCAAAGCCCCCGTGTGGGCGCCACGGCTGAGCGGGACTAGAAGTCCGATCGCCTGAGTCCCAGCCCCGCGCTCTTAACCACGGCAGCACGCCGGCTCTCAGACTTAACCCCGCAATGCACGGATGCTCTTTTAGCGTGCGGGTCTAGGTCAGGACGGACGGACGGACGTTCAAGGGGAACGCAGAACACTGATGTCGCTCGCAGAACCGATTCGTGAGGCTATAACGCCGGCCCGGTTCAGGCGCTAAGGGTGCCGGGAGTCGTAGTCAGGCAGCAGTCCTCGGAGTCTCCGCGAGCCGGCGCCCGAGAGCGACTTCACGAAGGGAAGAGGCGCGTGGCACGTGACCGGCGCGGCCCCGCCTCGCCGCGGTGCCTCTTGGGATTGCTCCCACGGCGCATGCGTCCTTCTTTCTTTTGCTTCCCCGGCGCCGTGAGGCAGCTCCGCGTGCCGCCGGCGCCGGCACCACCAGCCTCGAGAATGGCCGCCTTCCGCGCGCTGGGCTTGGCTCCGTGGCTGGCTGCGCAGGCGGAGCAGATGGGCCTGGTGAGGCCCACGCCGGTGCAGGAGGCGTGCATCCCGCCCGCGCTCCAGGGTAAGCCACCCCCCCGCCAGGGGCGCGAGGCCCCCTCCCACGCCCGCCTTAACAGCTTCAGGGGCCCCGCCCACCCCCCAACGTTCCTTGGGGCCACGCCCCTCGCAACTCGCTTCCCAAAGCCCCGCCCTCTGAGCTCCTGAAGCCACGCCCGGCAGTCCCTTGCCCACCTAGGCCCCGCCCACCAGCCCCTCCTGCCTCTTCCCCAGGCCTTGCCTCAGATCTGTAAGCCACGCCCACGTGAAAGCCCCCCCCCCGGCAGCGAGACCCCCCTTGGCTTTTCCTATCATACGTTATTGCATTACAGTGTTTTAGTCCTGCTAGTCCACCGGAAAAGGCCCTAAGAGGGGCTTTGGGGCAACAGCAGGGAGGCCTCTGCCCCAGCTGAGAGTCACTGCATAAAAGGAAATGCAGATGGGGAGGGAAGAGGAAAACGGGAGGTGGTCTGGCGGAACGACCCTGCTTCTCTCCTCACCTTCCTCAGCGTTACTCTCAGGATCTGCGCCGTTCCATCGTTCTTTGTGTTGCCTTTTGAATTTGAACTCTAAGGCTCACCTGCCTACTTCACGCCATTCCTTGTCCAGCCTTGTGCATTGGCTGCCAAGTGCTTGACGGCTTACTTTTTCTGCACTCTGTGGCTGCCCTGGGCTCCCAAATCCCCATTCTTACTTTGTTCCTTCCAGGGGTTCCAAGATTTCTTATGCTACCCAAATTGGCCATGATCGAGTTCTTTTGGACACAAGCAAAATCCACCCCTTTTTGTGTCCACCAAGTTACTTTATTTATTGTTTTTCCTGCACCACAAAGGAACAAATGGAAACTTCATTTTCAGGGTAATACCCCTGTTTTGCCTCTTGCAGGCCGCGACTGCATGGGCTGTGCCAAGACAGGAAGTGGCAAGACAGCTGCGTTCGTGCTGCCGATCCTGCAGAAGCTTTCGGAAGATCCTTATGGTATTTTCTGCCTTGTCCTGACACCAACCAGGTAAGGGCATGTCTCCTCTTTTCACCAACCCAAAAAAGGACCTGCCAATTTGCAAGAGACATGAGGGGCAGATAGATGAGTTTACTGCCTGTTTCTCATAGATGACATAGAGGGATTGTTGAAACCATGGGTCCTCAAACTACGGCCTGCGGGCTGGATGCAGCCATTTATCCAGCCCACCATGGCTCGCTACACGTGTGTGCGCCCATGGCGAGGTGCTGGCTTGCTCGCAAGGAGATGGCTTTGGACTCGCTCGGAGAAAAGGATCTCCTTGTGAGCAAGCCGGCGCCTTGGACTCGCTGGGAGAAAACAATCTCTGCACACGCACGCCCCTGCCTTTCTGCGTGCGCACCCCCCCTGCCCCGGCCTGCGCCCCCCACCCATCTCTGGCACCTTTCAGCTGGCCCTCTGTTCAAAATGTTTGAGGACCCCTAGCTTAAACCATTCTTTTGATAACTTATTTTCCTTCGTCCCACTTTTTTTGTGCAGGGAACTGGCCTACCAGATCGCTGAGCAGTTCCGTGTCCTTGGGAAGCCGTTGGGCTTGAAGGATTGTATCATCGTTGGCGGAATGGGTACGTAAGCGGCATATGGGAACCGGAGAGCTTCCTGCAACACCCATCCGGTTAAAACTTGCTTTGACAATCTGTCAAGCGGATTTATTTTTTTTTTAAGCTGCTCGGCGTATTGGCAGATAGCGGGATGGGAGCTTGTGTGCAGGTTTTGAGCTTTCTCCTTCTGGAGAGAACTGAAGCACGGCCCCGCTTGCATTGCAGATATGGTGACCCAGGCCCTAGAACTTTCCCGGAAGCCCCACGTTGTCATTGCGACTCCAGGCCGGCTGGCTGACCACCTCCGGAGTTCCAGCACCTTCAGCCTTCAGAAGATCAAGTTTTTGGTAAGGTGTTGTGCACAGGATTGTCTTAATTCTAGAGCGGGCAGCACAGACAAGGCTTGGCTTGTCCCTTGCATCCCCCCGAGCCCTAAGGCCTGGCAACAAACTTGCTTGGGTGGATGGCGGACAGAAGCCCAGATTCCACGCTGGGGGCACAACTGCAGAATACAGAGCATCACCTTCGGCAAATTGGGCCGATGGTTATTCCCTCTGTTCTCTCCTCCCTGCCCCGTGAGCTCACCTTCCCAGCAGGAAGGACTTCCTTTTTAAAATGGACTTCCCCAGGCTGGTGTCCCTTCAGTGCGCTGGGCTCTATCTTTCCCAGCTGCTGCACACCAGGATTGGTCAGAAGTGTGCTGCAGCAGGGCAGCCAGTCGCTGAAGGCGGTTTGGAAGCTTCCAGTAAGAAAAATGCGGCTCAACATGATAGGATAAAACATGTCCTGTCACCTCTGGAGTGCAGCAGTGCAGGCCAAGGTGGGGGGGGTCACGGCTGGGAATAAGCTGCCAGGGGAGTGGCTCAGCTTTCTTGAGGCGGCTGCAGGGAAGGGTCTTGTTCCAGCTGTCCCCACGCAGTCCTCCAGCAGCAATCCCCTCGTGACTCTTCTCCTGCGCCGGCTCAGGTTCTGGACGAAGCCGACCGGCTGCTGGAGCAGGGCTGCACTGACTTCACCCAGGACCTGGAGGTCATCCTGGCAGCGGTCCCCGCCAACCGGCAGACGATGCTCTTCAGCGCAACACTGACAGACACGCTGAGCCAGCTCAAGCAAATCGCCATGAACCGGCCGTTCTTCTGGGAGTCCATGTCAGAGTGAGTTTCCTGCCCCCTTCCAACATTGCGTCTGGAGGGTCATTTTGGAGCTCCGGAGGAAATTGATACTTTTGGGGTGCCAAGGAGCAATTAGACAAATGCTGCAGTCGCCCAACTCTTCTTCAGTTTCACTGGGATCTCTCTCCCCCACCCCCACCCCCCCAGCGTGCAGACAGTGGAGCAGCTGGAGCAGCGTTACCTGTTGGTGCCAGAGAAGGTCAAGGATGCCTACCTCGTCCACCTGGTCCAGACGTTCCAGGATGAACATGAAGACTGGTCTATCATCATTTTTACCAACACCTGCAAGTGAGTGTGACCGCTGTCTAACGCATTCTCTCTCTGCTCCTGTCTTTTTGGGTCCTCCCTGACTCCCACTGCTTAAGACAGGGGCAGTGTCATTGCCCAGTGCTGGCTTGGTAGACAGAAGCACCCTCATGGCATAAAGGCATTCTCCTTGAGAAAGAAAACAGTGTCAGAACAAATATAGCGGTACCTCGGCCCACAAACACCTCACTTCATGACCAAATTGGGTCGCAGACAGAAATTTCAGAAAAATTTTGCTTCAGGTTGCAAACTCCACATCAGAAGACGACCGCGATCACGGCCATGTTGCCGCACGAACACGATCGCAGCCGTCTTCCCTGCATGATCGCCATCGCACGATTATGGTTTGGACTTTCCCTCCAAACAATACCCTCCCCCCAGACCTAGGTTAGTGCTGTCTACTGTACTGTACTTTGTTAATTTGTTGTTCTTTGTCACTTTGCTTCAAATTTTTCTGATTAAAAACAAAAAACAAAACCCGGAACAGATTAACCTCATTTACATTGAACCTTATGGGGAAATTTGACTTGGCTTACAACCAATTTGGGTCGCAACCAGAGTTCTGGAATGGATTAAGTTCGTGAGCCCAGGTGCCACTGTAGACTGTTCCTACTTTTCCTGGAGATCAAGCTGCAGTCATCCTTTTTCGCTGGCTTGCACAAGACATCTTGCGGATCCGGGCTGGCCCTGCCACGAGGCGGGGTGACGCTTTTACGTCAGGTAGCGGATGCTGAAAGGTGGCAGCCTCGTGATGGAGGGGAGAGTGCCATGCCGCTTGGCCTGGTCTGTGCTCCCTAACCGAACCTGCTGCCTTTGGGTGCAGCGTAGGATTCTGCCCGCTCCTCAGCACGGAAGGCAGATGCCTCATCCGTCCCATGCTGTTTTTGCACTGGGAATTAGTTCAGGCAGCAGAACAAATTCTGCTGTACCTGCTGGCAGTGGAAAGCTTTATCCTCACGGCAGGCCAGCAGGAGGCCAGTGAGCGCATGATTCACCCCACTGAACCAAGGTCTGACCCTCTGTCTACTTTCAGTTTTGTCTCAGTTGGGAGAGCAGGGTGCAGTGAGGGTGTTCCCAAGCAGCTGCAGAGTCCCCCCCCCCCCGCCCCCAAAGCACGTCTCTTGCAGGCTGGCTCTTGCCCTGCTGCCGGCTGTATTGAGATGGCTCGGCCTTCTGGATTTTGCAGGAACTGCCAGATTCTGAACATGATGCTCAGAAAGTTCAACTTCCCCTCGGTGGCTCTCCATTCCAGCATGAAGCAGGTGAGTGAAGACAACAGTGGGGCGGGGGGGGCGTTCCCTTGGGCTGTCCCTGGTGCAGGTCACAGCACAGGGCCAGCCCTGCTTCAGCAAGCTTTCAACACCCCCCCGTGACTTCGCTGCCTCCTCTCTGATTCTCGTTGGCAGAAGCAACGTTTTGCTGCACTGGCCAAGTTCAAATCCAGCGTCTTTAAGATCCTAATTGCTACCGACGTGGCAGCCAGGTAGGTGAGGGGGTTTTCTGCAGTTTGCTGTGTTCCTTCCACCCGAGGGCTCTTTAGCAGAGAAGGGACTTGGCCAGCCTCGTGTGCCTAACCCCAACCCCCTCCTCTGTGTGTTTGCTTTGGATTTAGGGGGCTTGACATCCCCACGGTCCAAGTGGTCATCAACCACAACACCCCAGGCCTCCCGAAAATCTACGTCCACCGGGTGGGCCGGACCGCCCGGGCAGGTGAGAGCAGCTCCGTTACCACGGGTTTTCTTGTAACAACGATCCCTTTGTTACTGGTTGGCATGGAAACAACCTTAAAAGGTGGTAAATGTTGTAGCAGCAACCTCAGGTTCCCTGCATGGGGGCAAGCGCCAGTTTGGAAAATCATCAATGGGGCAACACAAGAGTCTGAGAAATGAGATTGTTCTTGTTGTTAGTTGCGAAGTCACGTCCGACACATCGCAACCCCATGGACAACACTCCTCCAGGCCTCCCTGCCCTCCACCATCCCTCGGAGTCCACTCAAGCTCACGCCGACTGCCCCAGTGACCCCATCCAGCCCCCTCATCCTCTGCCGTCCCCTCCTTCTTTTGCCATCTATTGTGCCCAGCATCAGGGTCTTCTCCAGGGAGTCCTTCCTTCTCATTAGGTGGCCAAAGTATTTGAGTTCCATCTTCACTATCTGACCTTCTAAAGAGCCGTCAGGGTTGATCTCCTCCAGGACTGACCGGTTTGATTGCCTTGCGGTCCAAGGGACTCGCAGGCATCTCCTCCAGCACCGCAATTCAAAGGCCTCGATTCTTCGGTGCTCAGCCTTCCTTATGGTCCAGCTTTCACAGCCATACATTGCAACTGGGAAAACCATAGCCTTGACTATATGCACTTTTATTGGCAGGGTGATGTCTCTGCTTTTTAGTATGCTGTCTAGATTTGCCATAGCTTTCCTCCCTAGGAGCAAGCATCTTTTAATTTCTTGGCTGCACTCCCTGTCTGTGATGATCCTGGAGCCCAGGAAAATAAAAACTGTCACTATCTCCATTTCTTCCCCTTCTTTTTGCCAGGAAGTGAGAGGACCGGATGCCATGATCTTAGTTTTCTTGAGGCTGAGGTTCAAGTCAATGTTTGTGCTCAGCCTTGCCGAACTCCTTTCCCAATTTTGAACCAATCAGTGGTTCCGTGTCCAGTTCTCACTGTTGCTTCTTGACCCGCATCCAGGTTTCTCAAGAGACACATAAGATGGTCCGATACTCCCATCCCTTTAAGAACTTGCCACAATTTGTTGTGATCCACACAATCAAAGGCGTTAGCATAGTCAATGAAGCAGAAGTAGATGTTTTTCTGGAACTCCCTAGCTTCCTCCATGATCCAGTATATGTTGGCAATTTAATCTCTAGTTCCTCTGCCTCTTGCCTGTAATTCTGTTGCCTAAACTCCTACCTGTAATTCTGGTAGTTATCGATCCACATACTGCTGGAGCCCAGCTTGTAGAATTCTGAGCATAACTTTGCTAGCATGTGAAATGAGTGCAATGGAGCAGCAGTTTGAACAATCTTTGGCATTGCCCTTCTTTGGGATCGGAATGTAAACTGACCTTTTCCAATCCTGTGGCCACTGCTGAGTTTTCCAAATTTGCTGGCATATTGAGTGTAGCAGTTTTACTGCATCGTCTTTTAGGATTTGGAACAACTGAGCTGGAATATTGTCTCCTCCACCAGCTTTGTTGTTGCTTGGACTTCCTAAGGCCCATTTGACTTCACCTTCCAGGATGTCTGGCTCGAGGGCAGTGACCACCCCATCCTGGTTCTCAGGGATGTTAAGCTCTTTCTTTTACAGTTCTTCTGTGTAATCTTGCCACCTCTTCTTAATCTCTTCTGCCCCTGTTATGTCCCTGCCATTTTGGTCCTTTATCACGCCCATCTTTGCATGAAATATTCCCTTCATATCTCCAATTTTCTTGAAGAGATCTCTGGTCCTCCCTATTCTATTGTTTTCTTCTATTTCTTTGTACTGTTCATTGAAGAAGGCCTTCTTATCTCTTCTAGCTATTCTCTGGAATTCTGCATTCAATTGGGTGTGTCTTTCTCTTTCTCCCTTGCCTTTCGCTTTCCTTCTTTCCTCAGCTATTTGTGAAGCTTCCTCAGACAGCCATTTTGCTTTCTTGCATTTCTTTTTCTTTGGGATGGCTTTAGTTGCTGCCTCTTGTACAATGTTGCAAACTTCCATCCATAGTTCTTAAGGCACTCTATCAGATCTAATTCCTTAAATCTATTTGTCACCTCTATTGTATATTCCTCGGGGATATGATTTAGGTCATACCTGAGTGGCCTAGTGCTTTCCCCTACTTTCTTCAATTTAAGCCTAAATTTTGGAACCGGAAGCTCATGATCTGAGCCACAGTCAGCTCCTGGTCTAGTTTTTATTGACTGTATAGAGCAGGGGTCGGCAACCTTTAACACTCAAAGAGCCATTTGGACCCGTTTCCCACACAAAAGGAAACACCGGGAGCCACAAAACCTTTTTGACATCTAAAATGAAGATAACACTGCATATATCGTTTTTTACTTTTATTCTATGTATAAAAAAAACTTCAGTGTGTTGCATTTATGAAATCAATGAACTGCTACAGAGAAAACAAATTTTTATTTCTGCATGCAACAAAAGCATTTTGACCCCCCCCCCCGCCAAAAAAAAGATGCTGGGTTGAAGGTTACTTTCAAATAAAATACTCAATGTCTATCTGATTCCTCCTCGTATTTATGAAATAAAAAGCCAAACTTGAATTATCCACCTGCAGCAAACCAAAAATGCTGACTGCTTCTTTGTGCCCTCATCCTTTTATCACGTGGACTGGAGGGTGCAATCAGCTGTCAACCTGAATGAAAAAGGGACTAATTGATACTTTCATACAGTAAATAGAGTTTCTGCAATACAAGAAATATAAATAATAGTCTGGTGAAATATTGAACAAACATCCCTCTCCCTGTGTAATAATGTTGCTGGAATTTTTATAAGAATCTTCTTAAAACAAGGAAGTAGATCTACATTATGATTTAGCTCCTGCTCTTGTTCAGTCACTAAAAACAGTTATTTTTAATCTTACATTATAAACTAGTAGAACTCCTTTCATATATTTTGAATAGGAGAACAGCTTCCTGCAGAGTCAAAGTTAGTGCTGAAGGGCTGCATGCATTAAACAGCAAGCCTCATAAGTTCCTCAGCAGTAAAAGCAAATGGATCTACCCACGTACCATTAAACGTTCGGTTTTCTTCAGAAACTTTTCTTCGATTTATCCATGGTTGGCCTACTGGGGGGAAAAAGCTCAGTAAATCAGCGCAGGTTGCAGATCAGTAGCTGTGCCAGAGATACAGGTGTGTTTAGTGATTGATTAGCAGATAAACAGTCAAGTGCTGTGAATTGTGACAGGTCCCA